AGTTTCCCTAATTTTACCTAATTTTTCCGCTATTTCTGCAGACATATCAAAGGGTATAGGGACTTATCCATACTTATCTGTCCGCATATGGGTACAGCTGCATATCTAAGGGGTTATCCGCTTAAATAAGCGACACATGATCTTGTTCTGGACACATCAGGCTGGACTCTGATGCCGGACCTTTTCTAGATAGAAACCAGACTCTGTCTGGACCATGACATCATTCTGACATCATAGGTAGGAGCTAGGCTCAGGCACTAGGCCATAGGCCGGTCAATTCTGGACCCTAGGCCTAGGGCAGGGCAGGGCCAGACTATGACATCATATATGACATCATAGAGCACATGATACTTAGTAATCCTTATCTAGCTAGGTACCAGGGGTCCATTACCGGTCCCTGGGGGGTTTTCCCTCATGTATATAAGGCAGCATCCTGGGGCACCCTGTCCCCCAGTTCTATTCACTTCGTTGTTGCGCTTAACAGCATTACCTCCTGTCACGAGTTGGTATGGCGCCTAGCCGTTTTTTAATTTTTCCTTTTCGCGGGCTCGAACCCGCGACCTCTGTACTACCTGCCTGATATGGACGCGTCACTATCTACTGTACGATTAGATTAGATGGGGCGGCAGTGCACGGCACAGCCCGGGCTCCGCTGACACAGCCACTCTGACTCACCGGCCCCCGGGGCCGCGTCAGCATGCTGCGCACGGACCAGCTGCGCACGGACCAGCGCGCACAGCCTCCCCTAAACATCCCCTGTATATAAGCCGGCCTCTGCTGCCCTAGGGACCTCAGTTTCGACCTCTTGTCCCTAGGTCAGTAAGCATCCCTTTGTATCACTTTCTTACTTATACTAACTAATACATTTTCTTGTCCCTAGCCTTAGGTTTGAGCCTAGCTCACCATCGCTTTGGTAAGAACTAAGTCGAACGCCCCCAGTGCCTTGTTTGGTTTTCCTCTGTCGCTTGACCCTAAGTCGCGACACCTCCCCCACACTTAAGTGCTTTATCTCCCCCCCTTACCATCAAGCTATAAGGTGGGTTTATAGGTTTTGTGATAGTACTATCCTTCATGCTTCAAGCCGACCATGAGCTTTTGGCAGCTCGAGATGTACGGGACCCTCCTCGTTGGCCACAAGCCATACTCAATTATGGACAAAGAAACGGAAGTGTACGTGATTCCATTTGCAAATGATTTCCAGATGGTAAGTGCATCCCGTGGCGAATGAACATCCCCGATCCGCAATGACGCTTGCTCCACCACAGCTACGCCACAAACTGGGTCGCAGTGATGTCGGGGCTGCCGTGATCTCTCGCGAGCATCTTGTGCAGCCCATTTTTGGTCCGGGTCCATGGTCTCAGCTGAGGCTCAAAGTGTCCCGCTTTCAATGGAGCTCAGCGGACACCTTAGATGTCAACCTATCCGCGACATTCTGTCTTCCTTTGACTCGACAGAACTCGTCGGGCCCCTTCAAATGCCGGCCATTCTCTTCACCCGGACAACTACCAACATATGTACCAGGTCCGTATCAGAAAGCTGCGCCACATCCAGTCCCAGCCCCCATGCTTGCCTTTGAAATCGTCCTGAAAGATCTGGAGAAGGATAAGGATAAAGATAAGATCTACACCGTCTTCGCATACACCGCACCGCTGCTCGCTCCGCGTCGTCAAGATCATACCGTGCCTTGGAATGAGTGGGGGCGTCGCTCGACATTCTGGTTCCCGGGGCGCTTCGAGAAGGCGAGCATGCACGGCTACCATGTGCTGTACAAGCAGGGAACCAAGACGGTGCTTCTGGACTTTACGCCTTCCGAGGTTGCATGCCGACGTGGAGCTATTCCAGCCAGCTCTTAAAGAGGCGAGGGAGAGATCTAACGAGGTAACGATCGGACTTCAGTAGGTGTGCAAACAACGACTCGTTAATTATTGATGTACCTAACGAGGTAACGATCCTTTACAGCGAGTCAGTACGGGCACGGTACGTAGTATCAAAGGGACAGTACTCACGGACTTCAGTAGGTGTGCAAACAACGACTGAAGTCCGTGCCACGAAACACCAGGTATATAACCAGTCGCTACGCGAGGTGAGTGATTGTTATCTCGGGAGAAAGTTCAAAGAAAAGGGGAATGAGGTTACAGGTACAGGGACACCAGGGGCGCATCAACATCGCGCCGATCCTGACGCGATAACGCGGCATCATGCATGCGCGCGCACACGCGAGTCGGTCGGACGCGCTTGGTCGTTAACACCAGCTGCATTGTTGAGGGCACGACAGTCCAAACGCCCAGTGTGGAAATTACTACGACGGCTGCATTTGTCCGTATTGAATCTGACGGGCTGGATTATACGGAGTACATTCTAGGTGAAAACATCATCGCTCTGAAGGTGAGGAATATTCTCCCGTCTCAGCTTTAGACACATTACTTAGATCTAACAATAGAATACACAAGATCTGCGCAACGAGGACGATGCCTTCACCGTGCTCTTTCCTGCCGTGAAGAAGAATGTCCAGTCATCCATATCATATACTTCGTAAGCTGACGTGACTACGGGTCAGTAAGCTCCTGTATCTCCTCACTCACCACTCAGGGCGCGTCATGGAGTGACAGAGATGAGTTTTAGCTGGATTGACTTGAAGGGGGAATACCCAGGCATACGGTAGCATACTACATCCTGTTTACATTCTGATTATGAACGGCTTCAAGTTCTGCTGAGCGACAGTATGTCGTCTTCGGAAAGTATGGTGTGGTTACTCGCACCTGATTACAATTGGGTAGTTCATCAGTGACAGTGGTGAGATGTCCAGACGTATGAGCACATTATGTTATGAAAAGTCACCACTCGTCGCAAAATCGAACGATAGCTGATGTAGGCTGACCTGGTAGATAACGCGTTAGGTTCGCCACAGTCGCACCAGATGTGCCGGGACATTCAGCGAGATAGCAGAGTGCAAAAGGGCAGAAGTATGAGCGTCTCCAATAAGTGCCTAAGCTGCCGTTCTCAGGAAAGCCAGACGAGCATGAAAGACGAGCAGATCATCTGAAGTGCTGCGGCGCGAAACTAACTGTCGCCATAGTTTAATAGCGGTAGACTCAAAGCTGAGACAGCAACTTAAGTTGGCTGAGTCGTACGTTCTGGTTCACAAGACCACGTCTCCGTGCTTGCATCTTCTTTCTCGACCTACAGGGTAATGTCCTTCAGACCCTGGCTGAAGTTGTTGAAACACGCCAACCCGCGTGGTTAGGAACGAGCTCGAAAGCTCGGGCGCGCGAGTAGCCGGGGGCCAGAGGCCCCTATCGTAGTGTATAACAACCCAGCGCGATGTATGTACGTTACGTGATTGTCCCTTACAGACATCGCTACACCCGTGGACAAACGCGCCCTGCGCCGTCGCACCCTTGTTCCAACAGAAGTGACAATTTCGTGGCCCTCGGCGTCGAGAAAGAGACCTCGCAGATAGCCCTAGGCTAGGGTTATACAGGCGCTCATGACGTGCTTACATTCCTATACACGTTTGTTGAGGCACATCATCAACGTCATGAGTTACAGTTTCATGTTCAATGCGAGTCTTGCAGCTGAAACTGAGGCCACAGTCCTGAATTTGCACATTGTGCGATGAACTTCAAGGCCTGAGCGGGTCGGCGTAAAAATGCGCAGCGCGCATTGTATTCGGGTCAGGGGTCTCACGGATCACTATAATTTCTTCTGCGCCATGACAAGGACTTGATTGCAGGGTACGGCCATATGTCACACGTTAAGATGAATGTATGCTTTTGGTAAGCAGAATACTGTCCTTGTCAAAAGGCGACAGACACCTTAGCTCACAAATCAAGTGTTTTGGAAAGACAGTCAGGAGCAGCGGATATGGTATATACTTTTCCGTCTACATCTCGCGGTTAACGAGTAATTCACGTAATCTCACGGCCAAGACCATAGTTGGGTACACATACGTGAGCTCGGAGATACAACGCGAAGCCGACACGCAATGCGATTCATATCACCACCGGAAAGGCAGATTAGGGCACGTCGACATTGTACTTTCCCATTCCCAGATTGACTGAACTCTAGCATATATAGGACGTAATACGAATCTTTATCGCAATTTCACGTATACCATCCATGCCAGCACCGCAAGCCTAACTCCTCGGATCTGGCATGATTAACGAGCGTACTTCATTGAAACATGTACAGGTGAGCAAGGCTGTGCGCTTTGTAACTGCCGTTCAAATCGCTACTGAGAAGCGACCTACAAAATTCACAGTCCGTACGCTCGGAACGGCTGGTTGCGGTGAAAAGATAAACACCCTGAGGTTGCGATAGGACGCGATGAGTCACTGGCTTGTCTATCTGTCCATTTATCTCGGCTCAATCTCCATACGCAGCCATCCGCGCCTTTCGAGCTTTTGCATGATAGTGTAAGAGCCGCTATTACGGAGCAACAGCACTACGTGTGCGGCCTCGGACGGGACCACGGACTTATGATGGACACTGATTAATTAGTGTCATTATATAATCCAATCCTCTCGATTGAGAGCCCTTGACGCGCTACAGGCCCTGCTTTGCATCAGCTGATTACAGGCTGTACAACATAGTTTCCACGGCATTGGAACGTACTCAAGCCACAGAAATCTGTACTAGACATATATATAGACTAAAACCCGTACCTCTTCGTTGCTATCTTCTCATATTGGCACTAACTTTCCTCCACCTGCAATTACTTAGCAGGAAATGTCGGGACCACTGTCGGAGCAAGTACTTGAAGCATACTCCGAATCCAAGGGAGTGAAAATCATCGCATCTACCTCATTTTAAGAGACTTACGTCCACAATCTAGTTTTGAGTCCGATTGCGTATCATATGCCTCTGCTGGTCAGTACCTCCATTAACTATCCTCTCCTCTCCTCCAGCATTAATAAGCCTTCCAGCACTACTTGTATATTATGCCGCCCTCAATTTTCCACTTGACGCACGACGTCTGTGGACGCGAAGATCAATTGCAACCCTTATCTCTACCATAAATTGGCTTGCTATCACTGGTACCATGATCACAAACATACCCCTTGCAGATAACACTACACAAGTATGGAGCATCAACCTTTTGAGGTGCCGATCCTGTACTGATGGCGTGCATTCTAGAGGTCTGTTTGTCCATATTGAGTCACCGTTCGTTATAGAATGTTTATCCCACAAGGTGTGCATCTTTTGGATATGTCAATGCTGCGGTATTCATTGTCAACACTGCTATATTTCCGTGTAAGCAACGCACGTTTCGTTCCCAGACCCATTCTTATCTTGTTTTTGAAGTGGTAGCCGCTCTGCGTGTACATGCCGTTAGCGGAGGTAACTGGCGCTGCGTGATGCTAGTCTGGCTTCTTGGTATGGTACCCATGGGTACTAACATAGTCAGTACTTGCAGTATTACAAGGCGCTTAAGACTAAGCAGGAGTCTCATAGTGGCTCCTAACACAAGAGACATGGGTTGTCCAACCTCAACTTGGCTGCATTGACACAGTGCTGACCTCCGATACCATATATAATGTGTATGCATATGTTACTAACCGTCTCATCACCTACACACTAGTCAATGTTTACAGGGGTGAGTTGTTCCTTTCTATACGCCTAGATGTCCTTGTTGATATCCCTGCTTCTGATGTAGCGGTGATCATTACCCGTGTATCGGCGGTCGTCTCGGACATCCTCGTAGTTGCAGCAACATGGTACTACATCAGGCATACAAGCTCTGTGAGAGAACAGCTGGTACATGATGTGTGGTCTGCAAGGCCTAATCTCACAACCGTTATGTTCCGTGACGGTGAGTGCTCATCGGAAGGTATAGAATTGTATACCATAACTGTTTATGCTTTGTGATCACAGGTACTTTGTGCTTCCTGTTAGTAGGGAAGTACAGTTTCTTGGGGATAGTACTCATTGCCATTATAGCACCATCTCGCTACTTAACCTCATTGACCTTGTTGTCAATATCATTAGCATCAACGTGCGTGTTTATTTATAATCGACTGATAATCAATACGGAGACAGTTGCTCTAGACCTCTTCTGACATAGTGAACATAACGAACATGATCTCAGCGTCTGTACACCCTCAACTATTATGGATTCAGAAATCCGCTTACATATGAACTTTGAATCTTACAGGATGTCGAGCATACTGGTCTCCCACTTCCTCATATGCGTCCGCGAAGCTGCAGAACGCTCAATACAAGCATTCAGTACACAATCTTTATCCTTTATTAACTCACAAGGAAACTCTTCCCCGTCATCGTGGCTCTCCAGTAAAGAGTTTGCTTCGGACATCGTCAACCCCTCGACGGAAGGTAGTCATGCGAATATGTTTGCCGATCTCGAAGATGAATTGGATCCAAGTAGCGAAGACGAAGTTAGAGAGGGGAGCAACGATGGGATAGAGTTGGAGGAATTCACAGCCTCTGTCCACTCCGTAGATGCACGCACATCATAATCTTTCTCGATATTTCTGTTCATGTTCTTTTTCTTTGGACTCCATCATTTATTCGTTGCCCATTCCCCCCAAATACGTCCACAGGTCTCGGTGATCGAGTTCCTGCAACATCGCGAGCGGTTTTCTCTATTCCTACTCCTCTTCACGAGTGATATCCCGCAGTGCCAGTTTAAGCTGCAGCTCCATTCCGCTTTCCTCGCAATATAATATGGGGACTAATCGAACCCATTGCCAACCTGCCACGCCGCTCATTCGTCTACTCATTCTGTAGACTGTGTGTACTGCTCTTAGTTTCGCTGTTCAGAAGGACGGGCGAGTTGCAGCTATCCTCGGGCCCGGACGGGACCATAGAGATGATGAAATCATTCTTGGGTCATCGACACTACAAATTGATGTGACGAGCTAGGTCCAGGAAGATGCATTTTATTCCATTTTCCATCCACAGACGAAGTACAGGAGGTTCCCTACTTGCTGCATAGCATTGAGGTAGCGCGCATGGGCTGACAACTCCGCCCAAGAAGCGACGCGTTACTTGAAACAAGTCTATGGAGACCGTGTGAGGCCGCTATGCGACAAAACAGTAAAGGAGGATTTATCAACGTACGCTGAACAAGTCGAACGTCTTCGAGAACAGCGTTATGCTATCGTCCTTGTCAAATATGTCAAGCAACGACGCGTCGGCGTCCGCAGTGATGTTCACACCCGCCAGCACGTTGAAACAGCCACTGAATGGACCGACGGCGAGCCCGCTGGCGGTGGATGCTGTCACGTTGCCTTCGCCGGACAGCTCCAGCGTCGCGAACGTGTTCAGGTCAAGGCTGACGGTGGCCTTGGCCGTACCATCAAGGACATCGATCCCGAACGCAATCTGTAATGTCACACATCGACATGAGTGCTTAGAAAGGGGTGCAAACGAGATGGACTAACACTAGGTACAAGTTCCGCCGTCAAGGACGCATTGGCGGGCGTATACGGAGCCGTGGACAGCTGCAGGACTGCCCATTCCTACGTCAGAACTGCACCGTTGATGAACGACGTCAGGCGGAACATACAGGCATTACCGGACGAGACGTCTCCGGTCGACGACTGACCGTAGGCCGGAGGGAAGAAAAGCTCAGTGTTGTTGAGATTATACGTGAATCCAACGGCAGTGTTCAGATCAGCCGCGACGTTGACAATGCCTTGCGCGTCCACCTGGAAGGTGGGCCCGATACTCAAAATTCTGGACAGGGACAGCAATTCACTTCGCAGAGGCGTGCTTATCGCGGAAAGCAACGTACCCTGTAATGTCTAACCCCGGAATGCCGACCTGGAACAGCTCCACCGATGGCGTGGCGACTGTGAGCTAATGGTATCGTCAGCTTATTTCGACCATGCAGTCCAAGTACTGTGCACTATACCGATCCTGTGGCGTTCACAATCAGTGTGCCATCCATGAATCCATCCAGCCCTAAAACAAGTAAGTCGCTGTGGTAGAGAGCACAGAAAGCTGGTCATACCAGTGAACAGTGTGAGGTCATCGAGCTTGGGCGGAACAACAGACCCAGAGACCGAGACCCCGTAGAATGCAGAAATGTTCGCATTCACGTCCATGCCCACCTGAAGTGAACACGATGTCACCGACACGCCGTCAATGGTGACATCCGTGTCACAGTCCACCGGCTGGTTGAACAGAGTCTCCTCCTTGTCGATGGTGATCGGGGGGACCTGCTCGGTGACATTTTTCGTAAATTTGGAAAAGACTGCAAGGATCCGTGTTAACACAGCACACGGATTGAGACTAGAACGGACTGATCGGGCTTACTATCAAAGCTGCGCCGAGAATCTTGGAAACTGTCTTCGGCGCTGGGGATAGAGGCACCTTGGAACTCGAAGGTGACATTCCCGTTCCTAACAATGCAATGGTGATTCCACCATGTATAATGACATATTTGCAATGAGCTCACTGTTGGGGATCTATGGCACTGAAATTCGTGTCAAGTGTAATGCCCTTGACGCTAGATGTGTCTAGCAGGCGGAAGAATCTGCTACGGCGCGTGGGCACGCTGCTCGTCTGGTTCTCGTGGTCCCAGATATTTGCTACCCGGGCAAATGGCATGGTCCCGCACTACAGACGTATAGGTCAGCATTTAGACCCATAGATCCCGATCGACATACATCCTCAGGCAACCGGACAATCGTTCCAATGGCTCCGCCCTCAAACAAACTGTTGCAACCGGCCGTACTATTAGTGCAGACAGCGCGGATGTCCTGAGCACCGCTCGTGGAGTTGCAATCCAGAATGTTCCATCCTGCCGCCGCAGTCAGGTCGGAAATCGCGCTTGTGTTTCCAGTCTGCACGTCGCCAGACGCCGGTAAGCCCAATCACCACAGCTGCGTTGGACAATAGACGACGCACGATATATAATGTGCCAGTCACGTTACCGCTCAAGTCGTACGAGCATTGACCGTCAAGGCATGCCGTCGACCAGTCGTTCGCTGCAAGGACAAGTCGGACAAATGGGAGCACGAGTGCAATCCCGAAAAAGGAAAACGCTGGACGGGCCATGGCGTCAAGCGCGGGGATATAAAAAATGTATATTTAGAATAAAAGACAGGCACACGGTGAACTCAGAACGAAAGAAAGCGAGTCCACCTGGGAACGAGTGAACGGAAAGAGAGACGGCGGCGAAGGTTATGGGAGGACCGGAGAGCGCGAGCGGTCCCATTTATGTGGACGACAGCGTGTGTAGGGATGTGACTGCCATGGCGATGCTCGCGCACCGTAAAGATGACAGCATAGGCGCTGTCGATGGAAACCAAAGCAGATATGCGAAGAACGACATGCGAACACGAGATCAGACCAAGGAATGTAGCATGCGCGACCTGAACCGTACCGAGCTACGCGGGACGGCGACAGGATCACATCTTGATGATACTCTTGGGCCTGCTGACGCTGTGCCGGCGATAGCGCGCATATGCATTCTCGGTGTGGAGGCTTGTGCGCCGAGCTATGCATGATGTTCCCGGAGACGCGTCGCCATCAGGAATGTATCTTCACAATGTAGAGCCGGCGTTATTGTACGGCAAGAGGAAAAGTGCGCCTTGCGGTAAACGTGATGAACATAATTTGACGAGACAAGCGATCAATTGAGGGCAGTAGAGCATGTTTGATCGCTGGTAACCTGTGCGCTTAGTACTATGCGTGTTCTAGACACGCTCATTGAGTCGCTGTTTCAAGATGTGGGCGCAAGTGGGCGCAGACTACTGGAGGAAGAACCAAAACCCAGCGCACACGACTCTTCGCCATTTTGCGGAGCTCAGAATATGGATATCGGAGCTAAACTTCGAGATCAGCACACCTAGACCAGATTCCATCGCAGCCGATCATCTTGCGTCAACGCGAGCGCGTCAATTCATCTTTATTTCTACACAAAATACAACATCTATGATACCACAGGAGAACACGACACCTAGCACGAACACGTAAAACAACGACATCAAGGCGCATAGCGAGTACCGTACACGCCCTCCTGCTTTGCCTTGATCTCTGTGCAGACGCCATGTCGGTCAGCACTCCAGCAGATGACGAGAGACAAGAAGCCACTCACGAAGGGCAAGGTGTTTCGAATGGAAGCGGCACATCGACAAGTTGCCTGCACATCAGGAGTAAGTACCGAACGACAACGAACAAAAACATGGTCTCCACGCACCCATCATAAACCACAGGTTCGGTAGACCAAGCCACCGCCAGGCTCCACGCTCCTCGCCCTCCTCGTTCAGGTCCCAGATCGGCCCTAGCTTGCTCGTTAGCTCGTCGCCGAGGAGCTTACGAATCGACTTCTCGGCGCCCTCGAACCTGTCCACCGGCGCTCATGAGCGTCACTGCAAGTGCACAGCGCCGCGAATTACTCACCCGGTCGCGAAGAGCACGACGTCCGCCTGCAGCTCGCTCCCGTCCTCGAACTTCAACCCTGTCTTCGTGAATCCCGCGAGCTTGCTGTCGCCCGTCAACTTGATCCGCCCGTCAATGATCTTCTTGCTCGTCCCGACGTCTGGCGCAGCATCAGCATACGTAGAACCAGACACACTCATGTCGGCGGGGCTCACCAAGGTAGTACCCGCCCCCACGGGTCTGCGCGAGCCAGAGGAATCCCGAGCCCTCGTGCCCGAGGTTGTACTTGAACCCGACCTTCTTGAGGCCCTCGAGGAGCTCCCTACACGAATAGTAGATCAGCATAGCTTCACCTGCATCCCGGGTGACAGGCATACTTGTCAGCCTCCGCGATCTCAGCCGTAATCCGCTTGTGGATCTCCTTCACCATGAAGATCGGCATCGACGTGTGCACGCGATCTGCGACGTCCACCGGACCAGCGCCTTCCCAGTAGGTGTCTACGCAGGCAATCAGAACGTGGGGAGGAGTACAGACGGGCGTCCCTACCCTTGAATACGCGCGGCATGCCCTCCTTTGTGGTCATGATGTATGTTGGGCCGCGCTGATAGAGGGTGACGTCTATGAAGGCATTTTAAGCATCGCGCAAATCGAAGCACTAACAGCCGCCTTACCAACACCATGGTCGACATAGTCCGAAGAGACATCGTGAGCTGCACATGTTATTAGAGACGCATGCATATATACGCGAAATACCGCATACCGGAAGTCCCAGCACCAATGACCGCCACTTTCTTCCCGATGTGGTCCCGCCCGGACTTGTGCTGTGTCGAGTGCAAAATCTGGCCCTGGAACTCATCCTGCGGCCGATCAACCAGCGCTCATTTTCGGAACGGGAAAGTCACAAACCTGGTTGGGGAGTGTTGGTATATGCGGCACGCCGCCGCCGAGACCGAGCGCGAGTATGACATGGTCGATGTGGAATACGCGCTCCGTCCCGTCGGCCTTGCGCACAGCGACCACCCACTTGCCGTCCTTGGTCTGCTCTACGCGCGTCGCGGTCGTCGACGTCCACACGTTCAGCTCCATGGCCTCGGCATAGTACTCCAGCCAGTCCGCGAGCTAGTCAGCTAGTCAGCACGCGGTAGCAGGAAACGCTGCCCTGTGCTCTACCTTTTGTGCTGGGGTGTACACTGGCCAGGACGGAGGGAAGCTGGGGCGGCAGTAGGTCAGTGCGGCCTGACAGAAAGGAGGCTAAACGCGGATGCGTACGGCATGTAAGGCATATGATCATACCCTGGAGTATTCAATGTCAGGATTCATTTTGCCTAGCAAGATGCACTGTATAAGCTATACGCACATACGGGGTCATGCAGGCACAGTGCCTCATACCGATACCTCCACTGATTCCCAATGCGATCTTGCTGCTCAACAATAAGCGCATCCACCCCAAGCAGCTTCAACCGCGCCGCAATATCCAGCCCACTCTGCCCGCCTCCAATGATGATCACTGCAGGGTCGCGGTCCGCGTACGCGCGCTCCTGCGCACGCTGGTCCTTCCACTTCCCGTGGTTAGGCAGGAACTCCCGATTCAAGCCCGTCTTCTCAGGGAACCCCTTCAGGTCCTCCAGGTTCGTGTACACAGTAAACGCCTTCCACGTCCCGTCCGCTGTCGGCACAAGGCGGAACACGCCCGACCCGATCCCAGTGTCCGTCTCAAAGTCGAAGAACGCCTGGATCCATGCCAGGTCCGGATACGGCTGCTTCAGCACGACATCACGCGCTGCCGCACTGGGCGCAAACTTGCGTGCGACAAGCTGGTCACTCAGGAACTGCCGGATCTGCGGCACCCCGTGGAACGTGCGGAACTCCCAGGTCAGTGCGAGCAGATCGCGCCACCAGCCGTCGTCGATGAACAGCGAGAGGATGCCGTCGATGTCGCCTGCAGAGACGTGCTGAGCGAAGGTGCGGTACCATGCGGCAGCAACAGCCTGGATGTCGACGTCGGACTGGAGCGATGCGCCGAGACGGTCGAGGGTGGGAAGTTCGGGTTTCGGAGCAGGGGGCAGCTGCGAGGATTTGACCGCATCCGCATTGGTCCCGTTGGTTGCAGGCTGGACGGGCTCATCGAGCTTGTCGAAAGCCGGAGGCGTGGAGAGGACCGCTGCAGTAGCCATGGTGCAAGGAGGAAAAAAGAGAGCGAAAGAGCATGGCGTGTGCGTAGATCTTATACGCGCGCGGATGATGTAAAAATTGACGATGGGGAGCTGATACGGGCGGGCGGGGAGTCTCGACGCGTTCTTGGGTGGGAGGACCAGCTGATCGTGCAGGATAGTGAAATGACGAACGATTTGTTCTTACGAGCGCAATCTTCCCACGGGGTTCGTCGTCGTCCCTGCTCGCGTCGACTTTCGCCGTCGCTTCCTGGTCCATTCCACACCTCGGGCGTCGCGTACAGCGTCTTTGACGAGCGGCTCGAATCCATCCGGAATGTCCTGGCTCACCCAGACAGTCCTACTCAGAATGTATTTTCGAAGAGACGACCACGCGCAGTCACCTTAAGGCTCCGAAGAGAGAAGAGAAGCATCAACGGCATGCTCGCCCATGCTGGCTAGGCCCTTGCCTATTGACACCAGCCTGTACGTCGGGCCTCTCCGAACACGACTTCTTGGCCTCGGGGCTCCGCGCCAGGCAGCCAGCTGATGCCTACGACATAACATACCATCAACCTGCGACCCTCGACCAAGGTGTACGCATGCCATGATAGTGAGTCAAATGGGCAGCACTGGCGTAAGCAAGACCACAGGATTGTAGGCGTCTGTTGGAAGAGGAGAGCGCGGGACCACGCAGAGATGCAGGCGGAGCCAGAGCGGCGGCCCGAGGGATGTAACCGGGGCGTGTGAGAGCTGGTCTTTGATGTGATCGTCTCGGACGCGCAGTTGATGGCCAATGTATGCGGGGAAGGCGCTGTTGGGGAGTCGTCTTGTGTTCAAGCTCCATATATGCGCTGGGGATTCGGCAGGCCGTGCGCTCCAGGTCGAGTCAGCAGGGCACATGTTTTAGGCGAGGAGAGCTTCCGTTGCGTGAGGCTCGGAGCGAGCTGTGGACTATGACAGAGGGGAAATGAGACAAGAGCAAACGAGAGACTCCGTGGCAAGAGGGATACATTGGTTGCCAACAAATGGGGTAAGGACTATACCTAAAAGGGAAGTTTGACCCTTCACAGCGCCAAGTGGGAAAGAGATGCGCAATACGATCCGTCTAACATCATGTAGGACGTTGTTGACAATGGCAAGAGAGTTTACTAGAATAATCTGCACATTGATCATATGTATCGTCTAACGAAACCAATAGAAGCGCAATCAGGCCGACTATAGTGCCATTTACTTGGTGTGATGGACCGGCAAGATCCTCACTCACATAATTAGGAATGCATTCGTCTCGTACCCATCCGTTTTTGTCTCGCACCCCAACACCCCGTGTATCTAAATATCTGAGGCATTCCTATAGAGCGATTGGCGGTAGGTTACGCCTGCCGACTACCCGGTATGGCACAGTACATGGGCGCTAGACGGAAAGGGAAGAGGGCTCTATCGGAATACCCCAGACGTTCAGATACGCGATCGTGGGGTACGAGACGAGAATGAGTAGTCTATCGTTCACGATGTATGTACCGCATATAGTTGTCCTTATGGGTTATACTACACTCGCCGACCGAATTCTGGTTGCTCTAACAGTCCTACGGTCCGAGGGGCGCGATTTGAGGCAGACCTATATATTATGATCGTCCTCTCCATATATAAAGGCTATAGTATTTAAGGTCTGCCTACGGGGCACAATCTAGTGGGTGATCTCGGTGCCATTTGACTGATTTGCGATCGAGGTGATTTTGCCAGAGGCCATGGTCGATTGGTCGGATTCGATTGGCGCTCGCAGGCCGAACGTCACATCGGCGTCATCGGCGTTGTTGTCACCCTTCCAATATCGGTCATATATTTGCAGCTGTATTATGTAATGAGATCTACTTACTCCAAATATTCTTTCTTTTTGAAGTAGGAAACTTTTCAGAGGCATGCATTAGTCAGGTCTTACTTTGCATAGTGTTATACCACCAATGTATTCGATACAAGCATGCACAAGGATATCTGACCATAGCTACAGTACGCTTGTCAGACTGCTGTTATTATTTTCTTTCTACTTGCTCCTGGACTTCTCCAGCGTCTTGTATAGTCATTCTTGTTATGTGCATAGATATACATTACGACTCTCCAACTTCAGGCAAGCTTGAACTGTCGAAAACCTCGTCTTTTCATTCATTGTAACATACAAGTTCGAATATGGTAATGATATAAGCGACACATCATAACAGTCGTGACTCTTGTGACCAATTGATGGCGGCCGGCATCTCCCGAATCCGACCAATCGACCGTAGTCTCATTTTGCCATCCTCTTAGCGCTGGGAATGATGTAATTCCCTTTTCTGGTATGGTTCTTGCCCCATCTGTTCGCAGTTAAACTTTGTCTCTGCCCGCGTCTCTCATTCGCTCTCATCTCATTTTCTCTCAGTCATTGCCCATGGCCCGCTCCGATCCCCGCATCATTGCGCCTAGAGTGTGTCTCCTGACCACAACGGCCTGCCGAATCCCTAGCGCAGACATGGAGCCAGAACACAAGACGACTCTCCAACAAGCTCATCAAGATGGGTGCCCCGCATACGTTGGCCATCAACTGCGCATCCGAGACCACCGCATCAAAAACTAACTCTCACATGCCTCGGCTGCACTCGGACCGCCGCTCTGCCTCCACCTGCATCTCTTCGCGGTCCCGCGCCCTCCTATCCCAACAGACGCCTGCGATCCTGTGGTCTGGCTTGCGCCAATCGTGTCCATTCGAGTCCCTATCATGGCATGTGCGCGTCTTGGCGAAGGGTAGCAAGCTAATGATATGTTACGTCTTACGCAGTCGGCTAGCTATCTAATGCAGGGTCGCCCCGAAGCCAGAAAACCGTGTTCAAGGAGGACCGACATACAGGGCCTAGCCAGTGTTGACATTGCTCGCTTTTCCTCTCTTTTTGGCGCCCATAGGTAAGTGCTCGTATTCGTCTCCACGAAACCCGGCCTGAGCGGGACTGTGTGGGCGCGCCAGAACCCTCGGGATGAACGCGAGCTGCTACTCAAAGACGCTTTACGCGATGCCCGTCAGGCGGAGGAGATAGGGGACGACAGACGCGGTCCAGAAACCTCGTGGGAATATTGCGCTCACAGATCGCTCGTCAGTTGACTGTACTGCACGATCAGCTGCCCTCTCACCTGCGAACGCGTCGCGACTCCGCACGCCCGTATCAGTTCCCCACCGTCAGCTTTCATCCGCCGCCATATAAGACTCGATGCATACCATCCTCGTTCGCTCACTTTTCGCCTCCAATCGCCTTCTCGCATTATGGCTACTGTAGCTGTCCTCCCCACGCCTCCTGTGTTCGACAAGCTCGGCGAACCGGTACAACCTGCAATCAACGGATCCAATGTGTTCAAATCCTCACAGTCCCCCCCTGCTCCGAAGCCCGAACTTCCCACCCTCGACCGCCTCGGTGCCTCTCTCCAGCCCGACGTCGACATCCAGGCTGTCGCCGCAGCATGGTACCGCACGTTCACGCAGCATGTCTCTGCCGGCGACATTGACGGCATCCTCTCTCTGTTCATCGACGACGGCTGGTGGCGCGACCTGCTCGCGCTGACCTGGGAGTTCCGCACGTTCCACGGGGTGCCGCAGATCCGGCAGTTCCTGAGTGACCAGCTGGTCGCGCGCAAGTTTGCACCCAGTGCGGCAGCGCGTGACGTCGTGCTGAAGCAACCGTACCCGGACCTTGCGTGGATCCAGGCGTTCTTCGACTTTGAGACGGACACTGGGATCGGGTCGGGCGTGTTCCGCCTTGTGCCGACAGCGGACGGGACGTGGAAGGCGTTTACTGTGTACACTAATCTGGAGGACCTGAAGGGGTTCCCTGAGAAGACGGGACTGAATCGGGAGTTCCTGCCTAACCACGGGAAGTGGAAAGACCAGCGTGCGCAGGAGCGCGCGTACGCGGACCGCGACCCGGAAGTAATCATTATTGGGGGCGGACAGAGCGGGCTGGATGTCGCTGCGCGGCTGAAGTTGCTCGGCGTAGATGCGCTGATTGTCGAGCAGCAAGACCGCATTGGGAATCAGTGGAGGTACCGGTATGAGGCACTGTGCCTGCATGACCCCGTGTGTGCGTGTGGTCCAGGCAGCGTATTCTGCTAGGTACAATGAATTCTGACATTGAGTGTTCCAGGGTATGACCACTTGCCTTACATGCCGTACGAATCCGCGTTCAGTATACCTCTTGCGGGCCGCACTGACCCACGACCGTCGCAGTTTCCCTCCGTCATGGCCAGTGTATACGCCAGCACAGAAGGTAGAGAGCACAACATGACGCTTTCTGCAGCTGTGTGCTGATTGATTGTCTAGCTTGCGGACTGGCTGGAGTACTATGCCGAGGCGATGGAGCTGAACGTGTGGACGTCGACGACTGCGACGCGCGTGGAGCAGACGAAGGACGGCAAGTGGGTGGTTGCTGTGAGCAAGGCCGGTGGGCCAGAGCGCACGTTCCACGTCGACCACGTCATACTTGCGCTCGGATTCGGCGGCGGCGTGCCCCGCATGCCGACCTACCCCAACCAGGTTCGTGGTTTTCCAGCTCATGGGGTGAGTACTGTCTGACTGGGCGCCGCAGGATGAGTTCCAGGGCCAGATTCTGCACTCGACACAACACAAGACCGGACGGGACCACATCGGGAAGAAAGTGGTGATCGTCGGCGCTGCGACTTCTGGTATGTGGCAGTGTTCGGCGAGTAAATGCGCACGCATGCTAATAATACATGCAGCCCACGATATCGCTGCGGACTACGCCGATCACGGTGTTGGTAAGGCGGCTATTTAGTGTTTTTAACTTGCGCGATGCTCAAAATGCTTTCGTAGACGTCACCCTTTATCAGCGCAGCCCCACATACATCATGACAACGAAGGAAGGCATGCCGCGCCTGTTCAAAGGTGGGGACGCCCGTCTGTGTTCCTTCCCACACGTCCTGATAGCCTTCTCGTAGACACCTACTGGGAAGGTGCCGGCCCCACGGACGTCGCAGATCGCGTGCACACGTCGATGCCGATTCTTATGGTGAAGGAGCTCCACAAGCGTCTCACGGCCGAGATCGCAGAGGCCGATAAGTGCGGCCGTCCCCCCTTTTTTGTGGATGGAGCGATGCTGATGATGTCATAATCGTGCAGGGAGATCCTCGAAGGCCTGAAGAAGGTTGGGTTCAAGTACTACTTTGGCGACGATGGATCGGGCTTCCTCTACCTCGCGCAAACACGTGGGGGCGGGTACTACCTCGGTGAGTGCCGCCGACATGAGTACAGCCTGTTATGTCCATGCTGATGCTGCATCAGACGTCGGCACGAGTAAGAAGATCATTAACGGGCAGATCAAGCTGAAGGGTGACAGCCCGCTCGCTGGCTTTACGAAGACAGGGCTGAAGTTCGAGGACGGGAGCGAGCTGCAGGCGGACGTCGTGCTCTTTGCTACCGGGTGGGTGTCTCGAGGCGCCGTTCGCTTGCAATCTGGAGGTCAGGCACTGATGAATGCCTGTGGGCAGGTTCGCCGGTGCCGCACAGGCGATCCGCAAGCTTGTGGGCGACGAGATTGCAGGGAAGCTGGGGCCAGTCTGGGACTTGGACGAGCAGGGCGAGCAGCGCGGAGCCTGGCGGTGGCTCGGTATGCCGAACTTGTGGTTCATGATGGGTGCGTGGAGATCCGATGCCGTGTGTTGTTGTCGGGTGCTCACTCCTGAGATACAGGCAACTTGTCGATGTGCCGCTTCCACTCGAAGCACCTTGCCCTTCGTGAGTGCCTATCTGTCCGTCTTCGCCTACCGAAGTGCTGACCGACATGGCGCCTACCTGTACAGAGATCAAGGCAAAGCAGGAGGGCGTGTACGGTACTCGCTATGCGCCTTGATGTCGTTTGTTTTGATGTTGTTGCTACGTCTCGTTTCATTTTGTGGTATCATAGATGTTGTATTATATTTTGTGTAGAAATAAAGATGGACCTTACGCGCTCGCCTTCATGCACATGATTGGCTTCGATTCCGATGGAATCTGGTTTAGCTGTGCTGATCACGATGTTGAGCTCCGATAACAACCAGGGGAAGAATCTAGTAGTACTCTGGGTAATGGTTCTGGTGCGAGCAACGTGCGCCCACTTACGCCCACGCCTTGAAACAGCGGAGCTAGGCATGTCTAGAACATGCCGGCGATCAAACAAGTGACTGCCCTCGACTGGTCTCCTGTCTCGTCAAAATGTACTCGTCACATTTACCGTAAGGCACGCATCCCCTCTCGCCTTGCGATAAGTAATGCCTGGTCTACATTGGGAAGGTGCAACCTGGATGACGACGTTCCCGTCTCTGGGATCATCACGCATAGCACAAATGTCCACACCGAGAATGCATATGCGCCCTATTGCCAATACAGCCTCTGCAGCAAGCCCAAGAGTATCAGCAAGATGTGATCCTGTCGTCGTCCCGCGTAACTCAGTACGGTTCAGCCCATGGCACACGCTGCGTTCCTTGGTCTGATCTTGTGTCCGCATGTCGTTGTCTGCATATCGGCCCCTGCTGTCATCTGTACGGTGCGCGAGCATCGCCATGGCAGTCGCATCCCTACACACGTTGTCGCCCCAAACCTTCTGTCTATTGACAACCAGTTAGTACGAAAGCTCGAAACTTCTATCAGAAGCACGTCCTCCTTCTCAATGTCGGGGCTGAGGAAGGCTTTTCCGCGCGCCCAAATCTGGCGAGGGAACGGAAACAAGAGTCTAGCGAGGACAGCTTGCCCATCCGCTTGAGCAACGGAGCTACCGGCAGCATAGAAAACACACGGAATATATGAACGAGGGGTGTGTTCATTTATTCGATCAGTCCTCCCAGAGTATTACGATGAAAAGGGTAGCGGATCTGCACTTACCAAGGCTGGCGCACCCTTTGACTGACACCCGTGGCTCTTAGCATGGTGTACATGTTCCGAATCTTGTAGACTCGAAGGACTCGGTTTCATATTAGAACAGAGACTCTTTCAAAGACATACCTCGCTATTCTGGTAAGCACATCTCTGAGACTGTTCAGACTGTTGAAGGGAAGAACGAGGGAGTAATAAATATCAAAGTCGGAAGAAAAGGTGAGTGGATGGCAAGATCAAGAAATATCATGATGAGCGTGCATCTATGGAAGAGGCTGAGGCTGCGTATTCCTCGAACTCTATCTCATTACTTTCCACCTCTCCCGCATCATCCTCGCCTCTTGAATTCAGATCATCGTCGAGATCGGAGAAAGCATCCGCGTTACTATCTCCCGCAGAGGGGTTGTCGATATCAGCAGCAAATTCTGCGCTGGAAAGCCACGCTTGTGGAGAAGATTTGCCTTGCGAGTCAACGAAGGATGGGGAGCTGAATTCCTGTGTTGTGCGCTCCGCGGCTTCGCGGATGCAAATGAGGAAGCGGGAGATCAGAATGCTCGACATCCTATATAATGAAGTATGTGATGTGTCAGCAGATACCTCAAGCTATGCATGAGGACTTTACGTACGCAGTAATTAAGATCGTTATATCTATCGTGGAGGAGTGAAACTAGAGTGGTCGTCTCAGTACGGGAAACCAATTTGATGTTTACGGACACGCACGCGAGTGTTATTAATCGCATTCATGGTGAGGTCGACAGTGTTGAGCAGCGAGATGATGCTGTACATGAAATAAGTACCATCGTCTAAGAATATATATATATCTTTCTTACAGAAAATACAATGTACCTGCAATGACGGAACCTGAGTTGCTACAATATACTATGCCGCACTAGTACTTACCATCTCGAAACATGACAGTCGTAAGATTAGGCCTTACATCCCATATCTCACCTACCAATTGTGATCTTACAGAGCTTGTACGACCAATGTAGTACCATGTTGCGGAGATCACAAGTATGTCCGAGGCGACGACGGATGCGCGAGGGACGATCACGACTTCATCGGCAGTAGGGGCGTCAACAAGTACGTTAAGACATATGAGTATAGCAACTCACTCCTGTACACATTTATCAATGTGGATAACACGAAGAGGAAGATGAAGTCTGCATACGCATTATATATGGCTTGAGAGATCGTCACGATGCTCATACATCCAAGTTGAGGAATGATAACCCATGTCTGTTCGGTCATAAGCCACTATGACACTCTTGCGTTAGCCGCAAACACCTTGTCATACTCCATGTACTGACTATGTTGATGCCAACGGGGACCATGCCAAGGAGCCAGACCGGCAGTACCCAGCGCCAGTTGCGTCCGCTTACAGCATGTACACGCAGGGCGGCCACCACTTGAAATACAGAGTAAGAATGGTTCGGGGAATGGGAAATGCGTTGCTTACATGTCGATACGGAAGCGGTAATAAGAAATACCACGTCGAAGGCATACATAGAAGATGCACATCTTGTGGGATGAATACTTCGTAAACATTGGTAACCAGATACAGGGAAACCGACCTCTAGTATGTATGCCGTCAATACAAGATCAGCACATCACAAATAAAATGCTACATGCTTGTGTAGTATTAGTTGAAAGAGGTGTACTTGTAATGATAGTGCCAATGATAGCGAGCCAGTTTATGGCAGAGAGTAGTGTCGCAATGGACCTTCTCCCCCACAGACGTCGTATATCATGTGGTAGGTTCAGGGAGACATAGTAGGCCAGGAGAGCTGAAAGAATGAATATCGCTGGAGCATGGGATGGGTAACGAAGGTACTGACCAGCACATGCATAACTAATACAGTTCTGTTGAAAGCTACACTGATGTAAGTTCTGTAGAGGTCTGTAGATGCATTTAGTTTCACTTGCTTGGATTCCCGCATTGCTTCGATGGCTTGATCCGCTATTTGCTCTGACATTGTCTGACGAGTAATTGCAGGGGTTAGAACGCGAAATGGACACAATGAGGTGGTACAATGAGACAACCATGAGAATTCAGTCCTTATATATGTCTTGAATACAGATTTCGGCATCTGAAGTACTCCCGAAAAGCAGTGTAATCCATGTCACGAGACCTATGCTTGAATGAATAATGCAGAATTTACAGCGCATTCAAGGTCTCTCAACTGAGCGGATCAAGCATATAGATGATGGAGTCGATGAATGTCTGCGGTAGCCTACAAGTTATGGCGTTAAGTGACGGTCCATCAGACCGACGAGATGACGACGGCGTCCCGGGAACCGACTCAGCAGAGAGAGGCCACGTCTGAGGTAAGGAATGCTCATTGACAGGTTCATTCGTTCATAGTTGGTAGATGAAGTGCAGTATTTGCTCACATCCGCGGACATCACGTACGCAGCTGTATGATCTATAAGTTTGCTGCCGCGGGTGAAAGCACAGACAACTGAGTTGCGAGTTACGACAGACCAAGTTGACATTGACAGCGTAGTACACCATGCTGATAGGTCAGACTTCGTTGAAACAGGGTTCACGTCTACATACCTAGATCGAAGGAAGTGCGACGGCCTGACGAATCGAGATGACACGGAAAGTGAGGAACGAGTAAGATGTCGCAACGGGCGTCTTGTTTCCTGTGACCACAATTTCATGATCATCCATGCCTGTCTTTAGTAAGCGGCCCATTATAATGATCAAGTTTTCACTCAAGTCCTTCATACATTATCTGTATTTCCGAATATCTTTGTCGACGTTTTGCGAAGACATGAGGCTGTTGGACCTATAGCAAGACCTGCCCCATCACGCAACATACTAAAGCTACGGACAGCTGCATACTGAGATGAGCCAAAACAGCAGTTAGTGACTCACTGCATCCCATCAAAAATGTGAGCGTATTGATTGATTGTTGACGGCGACCATCTGTTCCGAATCACCGATGTCTTCGGGCTGTGTGCGAAATGTAAACAAACGCTTGTGTGTTTGGCTTGTCGTCTTTGCATAACAGCCTTTAGTACCTGTGATAGGCTGGAATTTGATGCACTGCCTGGCAAAGGAATAGATGTGTCTTGATTTTGACAAGTAGCGTACACAATGATGTAGCAAGCGGACACTTCCCAAATTATCGATCCCAAATGTCTGAGCTGAGTCAATACAGAAAGCGTGCTGTGCAATGACCGGGATCGAGACTCGATTCTTCACAGCAAAATGGATCGCCTTGCGCGTTCGCATATCGACCTCCATGTCGCGTCTCTTGAGCTCACCTCAGTGGCTCGGATCATATGCACTCGGCAGTGTTACGCTGGCAATGTCTGCGTGCAAACGATCAGTAACATATGCAGAGAGCAATTGGTCGTAAATCTACTGCTCCTATTTGCGACGCCCGGCCATGTTGTTGCCAGCGTCATTTTACATGACCACATGTATCTGATATGTCATTTGTTGAGGAGAAGATGTCCTACTCACCAAAGGGATTTTCTCCTCTCGACGTACGACCATGTACTGTAACGCATCCTCGCCAGGGAATTTTGTCGGCATCACATGCTCATAAACAGGTCTAGAATAACATCACGATATACGTAGGACGCGAATAGAGTACGTATAGCACGTCCTCAATGTCTTCGACGTAGATTAATTTAGCAAGATATGATATTGTGATTCCGGATGCCCGGCACTTGGTCTATAAGGCATCTTCGCGTGGGACCGCTGTAGCATTCATGTCTACAGGAGCAGGGGTTAACTTAGTACAACACGGAGATGGAGTACACACATGGACTGCGGCCATATCTATCTTACCAGAGGCGGTACCAAGTTCTAGATTGAGCGAGCGAGCGACTGAGAAATGTCAGTTTCATAAGGAATGACCCAGACTATGCGCCACGTACATGAGACCATAGCGCCGTTCAATTCGCTTTACGCGTAACCCTAAAGTAGGGCTATCCACAACGATTCTCACGCTCGGTGTCGTAGTGGGGGTTTTGTGCTCGTGGGATCGGAACCCGGGTGTTGTCGACGTTAGTACAGCCTCCTCGTGGACTGAGAGTTCGGGATCAGATTAGATAGAATAGCCCCAGCGCTAGCTGGGACTGGAAGGAGCGAATCGCGAAGAGAGGATCGCGTACCTGGAGGATTTCGTAGACTTTGAGGAGGAGCGAGAGCGTCGCCAAGGATCCAGCAAAGGTTCGAATATTAGATTAAGAGAATTGTGAATTGCGCGTGGTTCGCTGGCTCGTACAGGCCCATTTCCTCTCCATATATACCCGCAACCTAGAAACCTTCACATGAAGTAGTCGAGTACATGAGCATCAGTCGTGGTGTGCCGGGAAAGAACAATACCGTCGCTCAGCTTCATGCGATCGCGGGCTACGTTCGAGGAGTCAGCGTGACGATTCTCGACTCTATTTACGAACGCGTTGCCCCCCAACAAGCGGAGGAGGCATGATCACGCGCTCGACCCTACGTCCCGCGTGCAATCCGCGTCGCTCGGGCTGTCCAGGACGAAGGTTACAGGAGTGAAGAGAAGAAGAAAAGAATGAACAAGCTATCTTCTGCCGACCTGCACGCCTCACGCGCGTGTCTTATCTTATTGTCCTTGGTCTTCGCACGCTGTGCCGGCTCCTACGTGAGGTGCGATGCGTCTTCGTCCGGTTGTAGAGTACGAGGTGAAGAGATTGAGATGGTGTGAGGAGGTCGGGGTAGTCTAGCGATGGAGACTGAGACGGAGCGATCATGGTTCCGAACACGAAGCGCGCGACCCGCGCTTGCGAGTCATCTTCCTGCGGATTTTGCCAGTGAACCACTTGGCCCTACCACATCGGTCTCAGGGCGTCTTTCTGTACTCAGTCCTCGTCGACACCACATGCTCATTGTTGCGTCATAGCGTCGTGGAGATGAGTCGCGAGCTCTGCTCGGCAGCCCTTAGTACACATATCTGTAGCGTCCTCAGAATACTCCTGACTTCTCTGAATGTCTTATTTGCACTACCAGCGAACGCAACTGCCCCTTTCCTCCCGTCATATCAAATCGCTGAATGCTGCGGGCCGTCCACGATGCCCAGGAGCCGTCGCGTTGCGTATCTCAGTATTCCTTGCACTGGCCTTCAGCCTGCTACTGGAGCAAGATAGGACCACGCGCTAATGGAGACACACGCAAGGGGACGGTTCGCTCTCCAAGGGTGAGTACTATTGTCTTTTTGACGCTCCTCATACCTGTGTAGACGCTCGAATCTATACGTTCCTTTTGGAACGGCTACAGGTCACTGCTAGCTTACTTTCCCCACACAGCCGAGTGTATACCCACTCGGCTTACCTTACACTGGCGTCCATTCGTGCGTGAAGAGGGGGTATCAAGATGTTGGTGGCATCATCCTCGCCACATCAGGTACTTCACTGTGTCACAACCTCAAGTCAGGTTGCCTGACAATCATGGACAATTTAGCTCACAGTATAATATGCTTTTATCGTAATTACGATCTAACTTTAGAGACTAAGCTCGTGCAGATGGTCAGCTCGTTCCGCAACACTAATGAGGTGCTGCAGGTGTATCGTGGCAGTGGCGTTATCACAGACTGGAACCAGTCTTGCGTTTCGCTACTCGTGGGGGGCGACTCTCGCATGATCCGCGTCTGGAATGCGCATACCGAGAGCCAAGTCATGGTAGGCCTTCTCTATGTGATACTAATCTTCCGAGTGGATCGCTCACTATCATCCTCTTCCAAGGACATAACCACCAACTCGGAAAGTTCGGTCGCAGCAATCGTCTCCGACGAAGGGTTAACACTCCGACGAAGGGTTAACACTGGCCAGCTTCGCCGATGGCATGTCAAAACTGAGTGGTTATTTCTCGTCTGGATCGTAAGTAGTTGTCGTGCTTCACGCGGACACATGTTGACATACAATTCGAGTAGATGGTGAAGTGAAGCTTTGGGACATTCGGAGAGATTATTCAACACTGCAGACGTGCGTCCACATGGACTATCTGCGTTTGATATGTACGATTATACAAACGTGTTTGTCGCGTGAGTACTTCCTGATAAGCATCATCTCTGGTGTACTAATCCGATAATTGCCACCAGTACGTCCGCATTGCTCCCAACAGATGGGAGAACACAGCGCACGACTGTCCACTCGTTCACACAATCAGACGCTTTGTCCACCGTCACCACTAATCTGACGATCCCTCCTCCACGAGGTCCGTTACTTCCCTTTATCCCTCCTTCGAGTAGCCTCTCTTTCCATCCGAGGGGAGTGGTGTATGCGGTTGGGCTATGAGATGGCTCGGGTCAGTATATGCGCTCACGTCGTCCTGTTCTGTATGATGACAATCCGCGCTACAGTTCGTATAATGGATTGCAAGCTTCAATTATGAGACTGCCACTTCAAAATTACTTATCTGGACAACTTGAATTGCTCTGCTCCTCTTTAGCTCTTGATGATGCATGCTTTGGTGACTTATGTTACAACACGCGCTATATAAATAGGCATATATTGTACTGATATTGAGTATTATGGGTAGTTGAGGAGCTTGATCCCAAGAACTTGGGTAACGTTATGTTTACTATATATACCGTATCTAATTCAAATCACCTCACGATCATTATATACACCTCTGAGACTGGCGTATGTCCTCGTCGATTTACAACACTACGGGATTGACATTTCCTCATTCTGCCGTGGACTTGGGTCGCGCACCAACAGACAGCGACAGCGAGCTCTGCACGGCAACCTATGGCACACCAACACATTGCGCCTCCAGAGTGCTCCCGAGGCCTCTAAATATCTGACTGTGATTCGTGCACTCCCAGCAAGTGTAACTGCATGAATCAGGCTGGAAATTAATAAGGCAGATCGTGACATTTCAGGTACTTGATCGTCGACACCGGTAGATCCACTGGTAGAAAATGGTCAACCGATGGACAACGCAACCAAAAATGGCCATATCGAGGAAGATTAGGGTATGCGTGCATCTATGGAATGAACAGATGCTGCGAGCTCCTCTAACTCTATCCCATCATTGCTTTCTTCAACTGCATTATCTTCGCCTCTCAGTGAATCCAGGCCGTCCTCGAGGTCGGAGAAAGCATATGCGTTACTATTTTCAGCGGAGGGATCCGCAATGTCGGCGGCGAACTCTATGCTGGACAGCCACCGACGTGGGACAGGGTTGCCTTGTGAGTTGACGAAGGATAGAGATTGGGAGCTGAATGCTTGTATTGAGCGTTCTGCAGCTTCGCGGATGCAGATGAGGAAGTGGGAGATCAATATGATTGACATCCTATAGGATGCACGATACAGTGTGTCAGCAGATACCTCATACCATGATGCAAGAGGATCCACGCACGCTGTAGTCAGATTCGTAACGTCCAGCACGTAGATATAAGACTAGAACGACCGTTTCAGTATGGGTAATCAAATTAATGTGCACAGACACGCACACTACTGATGCTGATTGTGGTCATAATGAGGTCAAAAATGTTGAGCAGCGAGACGATGCTGTACATAACATAAATGCCATCGTCCTAGGAAAAATACTTCTTTTCTCACAGGAAGTACAGTGTACCTGTGTTTACAGAATATGAGATACTACGATGAATATCCCGCACACTCTGGCTAGTACTTACCATCTCGGAACATGACGGTCGTGAGATTGGGCCTTCCAACCCACACATCACGTACTAATTGTGTTCTCACAGAGCTTGTACGACCAATGTAGTACCATGTTGCTGCGACCACAAGGATGTCCGAAACGACCACAGATGCACGAGTAGTGATCACTACTACAACGGGAGTAATGGCGTCAACAAGTACGCCTGGACATACGGGAGGGGACGACTCACTTCTGTAGATGTCAACGAGTGTGTAGAGTCCGGTACAGCCGATGGAAGTCTGCACACGCCTTGAGGATGTCATCAGGTACTGTCATGATTCCTAACATCCAATTTGAGGAAGGACAAACCACTTGTCGTGAGTCACAAGCCACTATGATGCTCTTGCTTTAGTCTGGAATGACTGGTCATAATACATGTACTGACTGTGTTGGTGCCCACGGGCACTATACCAAGGATCCAGACCGGCAATACCCACCGCCAGTTTCCTCCGCTCACGGCATGTACACGCAGTGCGGATACCACTTCCATGAAAGGATGAGAATGACTCGGGAACGGGAATTGCATTGCCTACATGAAGATATAGCGGAGTTAACAATAAATACTGCCAGATACGACCACCCATAAGAAGCACATCTTGTGGGGTGAATATTCCGTAAATAACGGTCAGGTCATTTGAAGGAACCAACCTCTGAAACGCCAACTGTCAATACAATATCGGCACATCACAAATTGAACGCTCCATACTTGTGTAGTATTAGTTGGAAGAGGTGAATTTATAATGATGGTGCCAATGATAGCGAACCAGTTCGTGGCAGAAAGAAGTGTCGCAATGGATCTTCGCCCCCACAGACGTCGTACATCATGTGGCAAGTTCAGGCCGACATAATAGATCAGGATGGCTGAAAGAATGATTATTGCTGGAGCATGGGACAAGTAATGGAGGCGCTGACCAGCGGATGCATAATTGATACAATTCTGTTGAAAGCTACACCACGACGTGAATGTAAGTCCTACAGAATTCAGTATATGAATGATTTTCACTAACTTGGATTCCAAGAGACCTTCAATGGCCTGTTCCGACGGTAGTTCCAGCATTTACTGTTTGACGGTTGCAGGGGAAATGAGAAGAGGTGCCCGATATGAGAAGATCGCGACGAATAGATACGGGAACCGGGCCCATATATATTTCTAGCACTGGCTTCCGTGATCGACGTACGTCCGGAGACGATGGGCGCTTTGTCGTTCGCAAGACCTGCAGTGAATTGAGAGACTCTTGATTGGGATGATCATACATATGACACTACAATCAATCAGTATCCGTGATAGCGTACAGTTCATACACTATGCTTACCAGTAGCTCAAAGCTGAGGTGATGTTGCGTTCATGACCACCCCCTCGATGTTTATACCTTTTGAGATATGTGAATACACAGATTTCGCACTGGAGACACATCCGAATGTCGAGCCACTTACTAGAATCATTAGCATTAGCTACTCATCGCACTACACAAATATGAAGAAATGCAGAGCATGCTTACTCGATATGGAGACGTCGCTAAACTCTTGCGAGAGACGTAATTCGGCCGCTGTAGGCGGGAGCCCAGACAACTAAGTTCCGGATCACGATAGACCGAGCTGGCACTGATGACCCAGAACAAACGAGTGCCACTGCCCGAGTAACATGCCGAACGACCAGTTACGGTCATAGACATACCTTCTGTACCCAGGTACGGGTGTCTCCTGTGATTACGCATCCATGGTTCCGTTTGAGTCCGCAAATGTATAGCTGCTGGTCCGTGATAGTGGCTCTTACACTATCATGCGACGTCCGAAAGGTGCGGATGCCCGTGTATAGCAATTGAGCTGAGACAAGCAGACCAGTCCGCGACCCACCGCGTCCTATCACAACCAGGGGATATTGATCATGTCTCCACAGCTTCCAAATGTATAGGGCGTGGCGTTCGCAGGTCGGTTCCGAGTAGGGCTTCGGACGACGTATGTCAGATTTGAGTTCATCCGGAAATGGGGAAGTGAAATATCGACGTGCCCTTATCTGCCTTCTCGATAGTGGGATGGATCGCATTGTGTGCCGGCGCTTCGTGCTTCGCGCTTTATCTTTGCGCCCAAAGCGCAGCAAAATAGCGGTGTACATTCACAATCGTTATGATCTTGGCAGTGAATCTGCGTACATGGATCATCAACCGCGAGACGCAGATAGCAAAGCAGGTACCGTATCTGCTGTCTCTGGACCCTGGCGGCGTCTTTCTCAAGTATTTGACTCGTAAGCCCGGATGCCTGATATTGACAAGAACAGTGTTCTGCATACTTGAAGCATACATTCAACTTGACGCGTACCACATGGCCGTACTCTGTCATCACGACCTTGCTGTGATGCGTGGCTTCGGAAAGACATTGTGATCCGCGTAAGATTTCGGATCCAATCAGAGTGCGCGCAGCGCGTCGCTACATGGACCTACTCAAAGCTTCCGATCTCATTGCGCATTTTGAAGTTGCAAGACTGGAATTGAACGTGACGCCTATGATGGGCGAACATATAGAGATTGGAGAAGGACGTCATTAACGCCCGCGTAACCCTAGTCTATGGGTTATCTGGCAGGTTTCTCACGCTCAACGAATCAAGTGCACGCGCTAATCTTCCGAACATTCAACTGCACACCATCGTGTCCTCAAGCGATTTAGCACAGTATGATGGACGTGAGCAAAGAAGACGCGAACACGGCTGCGCCTAAATGTTGTGGCCTACCGACTCGAGTCGCTGTGACAGCTTTGAGGTTCCACAGCTACCTTCACGTTGCAGCACTTCACCTGATCCATTGAACCTTCAATGTCTCTAGCGGCTGTGTCTTTTACGAATACTGAAGCGCAAGCTCCCACGTGAAACACTATCTCTTTGGTCCTCGTACCATATTGCCGAGCGCTGTGACGCGTCCAGCGGGTTCAGGAGCTACCCTAAAAGTACCATCCCTCACACATGCTGCAGGATATCCGGGATGTACTGTGCTCAGAAAGGAGATGTTCCAAGAGCAAATATATTGCTCGTGCTACCCAGGTGAGTACTCTCATACTCGGAAGATTCCTATGCCCCTCTAGGATCCCGGTATTGCGCATCTGCTTATGAGGAGGCCTTCTGGACTTCCGTATTGGTATTGTTGCGGAAGGCCTGACACATACCCCACTCAAGCCAGCCTACAGTGGTGACCCCTTGCCAACTATGAATGACAATGATACATGACGTAGGGTGCCCATGCGTCTGGACGTCTTACCACAGATACGGACAAACTCCTTACCTAGTCACAATATGGTGAAAGCTTGATGTCACCCACACATGTCCAACAGCAAACTGGTTGTGTGGTTCTCCTCTATACAATGTTATGCTGGCAAATGTGGCTCGTTCTTCTCCAGGAGCATAGTTTGTGTATTATCTTGACATAATGATGTGCTACCCGAGGATGTATTTGTTACACTTGCCATGCTGTGTTTGTTGAGGGTCTCCAGCTCTGTTCTCAGTCACTTTGCTTTGTGTAGTTACACTTGGAGAGGTCAAGCCACACAGTAGATCTCACACTACACATACACCCATATACCTCACAGGTCACTGCTGGTGCTTCCTTGTCACATGCCCATGGTGTTCTTTTCAGCAGATGTTCCAATGTCAAAAATCAGTGAAACATTTATCTTTCCATTCTATTTCTTGTTGTCGTGACTTAGGGTCGAGCAACAGGTGTCGTGACTTGAGGTCAAGCGACAGGGGAATACCTGAAGGCGGGGGGCGTTCAACTAGATCTCACTGAAGCGATGGTGAGCTAAGCTCAAACCTAAGGCTAGGGACAAGAATATATTAGTTTGTGAGGAAAGGTAAGTAAGTACAAGAGAGCTTACTGACCTAGGGACAAGAGGTCGAAACTGAGGTCCCTAGGGCAGCAGAGGCCGGCTTATATACGAGGGAAGATAAGGGCAGGCTGTGCGCGCTGGTCCGTGCGCAGCTGGTCTGTGCGCAGCATGCCGACGCGGCCCCGGGGGCCGGTGAGTCAGAGCGGCTGTGTCAGTGGAGCCCGAGCTGTGCCGTGCACTGCCGTCCTATCTAATCTAATCGTACAGTAGATAACGCTGCATCCATATCGGGCATGTAGTACAGAGGTCGCGGGTTCGAGCCCGCAAAAAGGAAAAATTAAAAAACGGCTAGACACCGTACCAACTCGTGACATTACCCCCCCCTCAACGGCGCATGACCTCATGCGAGGCGCCCTTGCCCATCTCCCACCCGGAGCGGCAGCGTGCTTCAGTCAGTGGCGAAGGCATTGGCTGAAAGTTAAGACCGCCAAAGGTAGCAGCATTGAGGCGGCGAGGGGCGTTCGGATTCTTCCGGTGGAAGTCGGCTATAAGGGCCGGTGCATTGGCAACGTTGCTTGCCGGTTCCCATGACGTATGTGAATCGTCATACCCCTTCCACTTGACGAGATACTGTAGTTGACGCCGGAAGATCCGCGAATCCTTGATCCGCTCAACCTCGTATTCCTCATCACCCTCAACCTCGATCGCAGGCGGCTCCTCCGGCTCTCAGCCCGGGATATCGCTATGCGTGTACTTGCTCAGCAAGGAGACATGGAACACCGGGTGCACCGGCACCGACTTCGGCAGGACTAATTCGTAATCCAGGTCTCCGAGCTTTCGCTGCATGGCATATGGTCCGAGGCACTTGGGACTGAGCTTCTTGCTCGGCTGTTTCAGCTTAAGGTTTCGGGCATCAAGCCAGACCTTGTCCCCCGGCACGAAGACCGGTGCTTTTTGCACGTGCTTATCGTAGTACACTTTCATACGCTCGGCTAACAGTTCGAGCGCAGAGCGCGTATCGTCGCGAATCTCCTTCAGGATTTTGAGCCGATCAGCGGCTGCAGGCATCGCAGACATCGGATTGATCCGCACTTGGATCTCAGGATTGTACCCTTGATGCAAGAAGAAAGGGGAGTGCCTGGTCGCAGAGTGAACTCGGTTGTTCAACGCGAATTCCGCGAACGGCAACTGCTTCGCCCAATCATCCTGCCTGTGGCTTGTGAAAGCACGCAGGTACTGCTCAATCTCCTGGTTCCAGCACTCAGTCTGGCCGTCTGTCTGGGGGTGGAACGCTGTGGACAGCGCCGGCTCGATCCCTAGTCCCTTGTACACCGCATGGAGGTATTTCGAAGCGAACTGGGGACCTCGGTCTGATATGACCTTGGCCGGGGCCCCATGATGCTTGAACACATCGTGGATGTATAGGTCTGCCGCACCTTCTGCCGTCAGGGTTTCACGACAGGCGGAGAAGTGGACCTGCTTGGTAAAGCAGTCGGCAGTGACCAGGATCGAATCGAATCCATCAGACTTTGGTAAGCCGACGATCATATCGGTCGTGATGATTTGTCATGGACG